AGTCTAACTTTTTGGCTGTTTTGCTTTGCTTTTTTTCCCCTGTCACTGTATTAGGTAGCTCAGACTGACACAGGTCATAGAGGAAACTTTTATATATACTTGGGCCTGGTGATGGGAGAACCATAAGCCAACTGTAGATCCAGCTTTCAAATAAAATACATTTGGCATAAAATTATTTTAATGTTATATACACCAAAAAGACATCCAAACTCCCGCTAAGCTGAATTCATTGACACCAGAGAGCTCAGAGATAAATTCTGAACCCCAAACCTAAATACAGCCATGTGATCACTGGCAGCTAGTACACAAAGACAGCAAAATATCTTACCCATTTGTGTCTCAGCTCTATGCTTGCAACAAAACTTAGGAACACACCAGAACACAGACAAAACTTTCCAACAAAACCGGGAGACACAGGTTTAGAGAGAAACAGACTAAACTCCAAGAAGACAAATGATGCAACAAAACTTACTAACAAAACAAGCAGACACACTTTCTCTAGAAATAGACAAACAAAACTTTCCAACCAGAACCAGAACAGTGGATGATGTCTAGCTATATGTCCTGGACAGGGCATTATTGGGGTTCTGTCGAACCCTTTCCAAGTCCCCAGACAGGGACTCCACAAAATAAAACTAGACTATAACTCACCAGGAGGCCTCTGTAAATGCTTGCTGCATCCTCATCATGGAAGTCCACTCCTATAGTCTGTGAACTGAAGGCAGCCAGGAAGCCTTGGAACATCTCAAGGCTTGTGTCCTATGAACCACCCCTGAGTCTCATTGTTCTGGAGTGAAGGTCCAGCTTTAGAATTTGGGTGGGTGGTCTGAAACTTGCTGAGGGCCTCCAGAAAATGTTAATCCCACTGATTAAGAATAAGACCACTACACAGTTTAAAACCAAATATGAAGCAAGCTTTGCAAATGTTGCAGCCCTGAAGGGAAAGGTATCCTGACCTTTGAAAGCCAGGCTACACCTGTGAAGGGAAGGTATCCTGGATACCTGCAGCTCTGAAGAGAAAGGCATCCTGACTGTTGGGAAGTCAGGATATACCTATAGCTGTGTTCCAATGGGGGATGGGTTCCCACGGGAATGCAGCAAATCTGTTTCTCTTTGAGAGAGCCATTGAAGCTCAGCTCTACTCCACTCTGCTAAGTTTTCCAGCTGAGATGTCCCTTGCTACTCTCCTCTGGTGAAAGTTGTTACTTCTCTGCTTCACTCTGCTAAGGGGGAAACCCCTCTTCAGAAATGTAGCAGTTTGCCCCTGCTCGATCCAGAGATATTGGTGGTTGCTTCTCTGCTATGTTCCACTCAGGCAAAGGAAGGTCTTTATCCAAAACTCATTCAGGATTTATTGGGAGGGAGAATGTAAGGAGTAAGGCTTTTCCTGCCATCCTGGACCCACAGCGGTGCCAGCCCCAAATAACACACAGAGACTCTGTATTAGATATAATTCTGTTGGCCCGTTACTTGTTTCTTATCGGCTAGCTTTGTCTTAATTATTAACCCATTTCTATTAATCTAAGTACTCCCATGTGGTCTCATCTTACCTGAGAGAGGGGGCCGCCGGTTCTGCTCTCTCCCATATCTACATGCTGACCCCTCCCTCCTACTTCCTCTCTCCTCCTTGTCTCCTAGTCCCGCCTATCTTGCTTTGCTATTGGCCAACAGTGCTTTATTTATTAACCAGTATGAGAAACATATTTACAGAATGACATCTCCCATAATCTCCTCTTTTGTGTCTAAAATAAAAAGAAGTGTTTTAACCTTAGCATAAAAAAAATATATCACATAACAGTTATTAAATAAGAATCACAGTTAACAATATTTAGCCCATTAACATTTAGTAAGATTTAAGAAAATATTCCATCATCTATTTTATCTTTGTAAGTCTAAAGTCCTATATGTAACTTATCTTTAATCCTAACTAAGGAAAACTCTAACCTAACTATCTGTCTTCAACTCCTTCAAAGACCACAGAAGAATAATATATAAACTCTAGAAATGACAGAGATAACTCACTGCCTGGTCAGTCACCCAAAGTTTTTTTTTTTTTGTAATGTTCCATTTTCAGCCCATAGGCCATAGTGTGTCTGGCAGACTCTTCAGCAAAGCAGGAAAGTTTAAACTGTCTTCTTGTATTGGCAGTTTGTCAGTCACTTTTCTCTGTGTCTTGCAGACTGTCTGGCAGACTCTTCTATGAAGCAGGAACCCTGTAGCAATGTCCATCTTGTATCATCAGTCACTTTTCTGTGGGTCCTGCATGTCCAGTTTATACATCATGAAGTCAAACAGTCCAGACAAGAGCAGTATCTTGCCCAAATGGTTTGTCTTGCCATATTGAAAGCAAACTTCATAATGCATTTCTTCGATGTCCATCTTACTTTCTGACGCAAGGTGGTATTGCCAGGAGCAGTTATGTCTCACTGTCAAGAAAAACCCTAAACCATTTTAAATGCCATATTCTGTAGGTCTTTGAAAGGTTTGAAGAATGCTTATCCATCTCAAATACATCTCTGTGTAGCTTGAAAACCTCCCTGAATAAACAGCTATTTGGCCTATTTGTTTCTTCTGATACTTATTAAACATCAATAGGAGGAATCCAGGAGAGTGGATGCCTCTGTCCAGGGTAGAAAAGGGCAGCTCCTAACTGAACATGCATAGGGCTTACATAGAGCTTCTTAGGGGTGGAGTTTTTCCAGGGTGAAGTTTTTCAGGGTGGGGATTGGTTGGATTTTAATTCCTGAGCTTTGACAAGCTCAGAGATTGACTGGATTTTGTGTTCAGGAATTGGTTGGTTTTTGCACTGAGTTGGTCAGGGGCAGTGTGTTTCTTTGGCTATGGTTTCAGGGCAAACGTGTTTCTTTCAATGACTGTTTTTAACTTTTTGGCTCTGATTTCAGGGTAAAAGTGTGTTTCTTTGGCTCTGGTTTCAGGGTCAAAGTTTTTTTCCACTGGCTCTGGTGTCAGGATCAAGGTGTGTTTTCTTTGGCTGGCCCTTTTACCCTACAAACTTTAATTAAATACTGGCCAGGTGGATGGGCTCTGGCCTGGTCTATACCCAGGTTCCCAGGAAATGGCCCAGAATCAAGTATGGCAAGGAAAACCTATAATTCATTGCATTTCCCATTAGGTCCAATCAGAGGCAAGCATACACCCTGACATATTTCTCGCCTAAGTACCTCCTGTCCACACATGATTAAGTACTTCAGGTGCAGATGGGTCAAACAAACATGTGACTTTTATCACCTATAAACAACAGCCTAAGGCATTTCAGGAACTCTCTGTCCTTGGGCAAGGAGCTTGCAGATCAGAGGCATTTTTGTTTCATGGATCTCTAAGGCATAGTATTTAAAACTTAAAATGTAACTTTGGCTGTAAGGATTCAGGCATTATTATGGCCTGCCCCTGTCATCTGGCAGAATGCAGTCAGGCAGCCCAGGTCAGCCCAGGGTTCCATGACTACCAGTCTGTATGCAGGTGCAAAGGACCCCTTTAAAAGAAAGACTCCATCCCCTTACTCTTTCCTGCTTCCTTCCCAGCTCTCCTCCACCCCTCTCCTGCTCTCTTCCCTGTGGTCCCCTGGGGCAGACAGGACTTTTCCTGTCTCCCTCTTCTCTTCTGTCCTCTCTCTGTCTCTATGTCTTTTTTACCTCTTTTCTTTTTTCTTTCCTCTTCCCTCCCCTTTCTAATAAAACTTCCCACTAAACTCTGTCTGCCTGGCATGTTTGTCCCCCTGCCTTGGTCACTCTGTTCTGCCGTGGAATCTGCTAAAGTTCCGCTCATGCTTTATCATAACATTTGCCTCCAATTTTTAATATTTTTCTGCAACGTTTTTGCATTATTTTTTATTTTAATTTTATGTGTATGAGTGCTTTGCCTGCATGTACCACATGTGTGCCTGTGGAAGCCAAAAGATTGCGATCCCTTGGAACTAAAGTCCCAGAGATTTGTGAGCCACCCTGTGGCTCCTCAACAAGCTCTGACGGCCAGCACTCTTAACTACCCTTAGCCATCTTTCTAGCTCCCACTTTTCATTTTTAAAACACTGTGCTTCGGAGTTATTTAGCTCCATTCCTGAGGTTTTGGGTGTGCCTGTACATGCTGGCCCACAAGAGTGCCTCCTCCAGCTTGGCAAGGAGCTAAAACTTTCTTACTGTAGAAAATTTTGGACCCTCTCAGCGCCTGCATATCTTAACATTCTGGCTCTCCTCTTGCAACATTGAGACCTGACCTCAATTTTCTTCTAGAACTCCAGGATACAAGGATCCTGGCTAGGGGCAGAACAGCCCTTTACCTAGCTCACCCCTCTTCCGAGGCGCTAGGTGGGTGCAGCAGCTTCTAGACGGGACTGGATCATACATAGACAATGAGGGCATCCCCTCTGGTTTGGGAAAGCTGGTAGAAAATAGCCAGCTGAAGCCTGTAAAGCTCTAAGGCTTTTCCCAGGGAGCATATGGGAAGGGGCGTGGTTGAGGGTGGGAAAGTGGGCGGGACAGAGTCCTAGTGGGCGGGGCAGGCGGGTGAGTAAGTAGTTGTAGGTGGGCCCCGCTCCTTTGGGCAAGGTGGGGCGGGGCTGGTGTGCCGTACAGAATTCCGGTCCAATGAAAGGGACAGATTGCACTCGGTGGGGTGGAGTGGAGCGCTCCGGTGGCGTGGTACATGGAGGAGATGAACAGGTCATGGGTGTCCACATAGGTTCTGGGTAAGCGAGACAGGATGTAGGTGAGCAAGGTGGAGCAGGGGAGGTCTCAAGTGGACGATGTGGGGCGAGGGTGAGTAGAGGGGCTCGCGGGTAGGCGAGGCAGGATCGGGTAAAGTAGGTGGGCAGGGTTGATGGAGTGGCTCTGCTTCTGGAGCGGGGCACCTAGCTGTCACCGATGTGGCCGCAGCTTCTAGAGTGGCCAGTGTCTGCTAGCTCCTCCCGTGGGCTCAAGGTGCGCTGCTCCGCAGGAGGCGGGGCTGCGAGGTGCCGGATGCTGCGCGAAGCTCTGCCTGCCCTGGACACAGACCGGTGGCAGCGCAGCCCAGGGGCTCGTCTCTTCGTGGTGTCCATCACAAGCCGGGCTCCGGGGCGATGGTAGACGTGCTGAGCGGGCGGCGTCTGGTGACCCGCGAGGGCGAGGTGGTGGAGGCCGAGGCGGCGCTGCAGAACAAGGTGGTAGCTCTGTACTTTGCGGCGGGTCGGTGCGCGCCCAGCCGCGACTTCACGCCGCTGCTCTGCGACTTCTACACGGAGCTGGTGAGCGAGGCGCGGCGGCCCGCGCCCTTCGAGGTGGTGTTTGTGTCAGCGGACCGCAGCGCGGAGGAGATGCTGGACTTCATGCGCGAGCTGCACGGCTCCTGGCTGGCACTGCCCTTCCAGGACCCCTACAGGCAGTGAGTCGGAACCCGGGGGGTGCAGGCACAGGACCAGAGCTCTGGCTCCCCTGGACAGTCTCCTGCACAGTGCCGCTCTTTCAGACTCTGGTCCTTAGCTTCCTCCCCGCCTTTTTTCATGTTCAGGAAAATCTGACCCCAGTGCTGGTCAATTCCGCGGAGTCTTGGTTCCATTATCCACGGCCCGCCATCGTTTCTGCCTTTCACTTTTGGGGTTTCAGAGATCTGCACGTTTCAGGAGTTCCTGGGCTGGTCCTGATGCTAGCTGGCATCCCATAGCCAGTTTTCTTGATAAGTGTGCAGGAGGAAGGGTGGGAAGCTGACCCCACCGACCTGAATGCGAGCTGTTGATCGCAACCTGTGTTCACAGAGCTGCATTGCAGAGGAGGGTACTCTCAGGAAGTGGGGAGGCCTCAGAGAGGGAGGAACCAGTTGCTGGTCATCTTTGTGATTCCATGTTTACGTGCAGCGAAGTTTCAGTAACATGAATGCTATCACACTACATGTTAGAGGACCCAGGAATGGGCAGATGTTAGAGAAGGCAGGACTAGAGAGTTCCAGGATAGAGCCTCGGAAAAGAGCAAGCCATGGCCGGGTACTGGGCGAGCCAGGGTGGAGGTGGTATCTCCTGTGATGGAAGAGTCTAGATCGTAGAACACACGCCGCCAGCCCCGCCCCCTTCTAGAACAGATGTTTCTGGGTATCCTCTGGTTCTGGGTCTCAGGCTTGTTATACAGCTGTGATGCTACCTGTGAATACTTCCTGAAAAACGAGGCATAGCCAACTTTGCGACATTGCATAGATTCCTAACAACTAGAAGCCTCCTTAGTCTGTGTGTGTTTGGGGGTGTCCTTGTGGGTGCGTGCCAGTAGAGATCAGAGGATAACTCTGCTGTTATTTCTCGGATGTCATTCACCTTGTCTCTTGAGACAGGGTCTCTCACTGCCCTAGAAAATCACTAAGTGAGCCCTAGGGATTCACCAGTCTCTGCAAACCCTGCCTCCCAGCCCCCCAGCTCTGGGATTACAAGTGCACCAATTTTTCAAGTGGATCAGGGATCTGAATCTGTGTCTGCATGCTTGCAAAGCACTTTACTGACTGAGCTATCTCCCCCGATTTTCCTAAACTCGTTTTCTTTGCTGGTTCCTAGGGAGGTGAAGAACCCAGGCCAAGCTGCTTAACCTCACTCATGCTGGTACCCTGAAAATCCCATTGATACTAAGTCGAAGTGACAGCTCATTACCTTTGCAGGAGGACTCACTTGACAAGGACTTCAAGTACTGAGCTTTGAAATGTGATGTGACACGATGGCAGGACACACTTGTTTTGCAGTTGAGATGGTGATTGTTGGTAATTAGGCAGAGAGCTCAGGCCCCCCCCCCCAGAGAATAGGGCTCTGGGTTGCCCATGAGGATAGTGGGAAAGGAGTTTCATGGATGTGTAAAGAGGTGCATGAGGAGTGGGGCTCTGTATTTATTACTTTTCTACAAAACATTTGACAAAAGCAACGTAAGAGAAGCCGGTGGGAGGAGTGGCTCAGTGAATAAAAGTACAAGTATGAAGATCTTAGTCCAAATCCTCAGCACTTAAATTAAAACAAACAAGCAAACAAACAAAAGCCAGACATGGCTGCGTGTGCCTAGAACCTCAGCAATGGACAGGTAGAATCACCAGATCCTGGGAGCTCACTGGTCAGCCAGCCTAGCTGAAACAGCCAGCTTTAGTTTCAGGGAGAGAACCTATCTCAAGAGAATACTGGGGAGAGTAATTAAGACATTTGTTGAATCCCTCTGGCCCCTGCATGCGCCAGCACACCCCTCCCCCACGGAATAAAAGGAACTTAAGGCAGGAAGGGTTTACTTGGGTTCACAGTTTGAAAATAGGCCCTTACTGTAGCAGAGGCATGAGGAGGTGGCTCACGGCATTTGCAATCTGGAGCCAGAGACAAAGGAATGCTGGTGCAAACCTACTTTGTCCTTTCCATGTAGCCCAGGACCCCAGTCCATGGAATGGGGCCCTCCCACAGTTAACCCAATCTAGAAATCTCCCCACAAACTTGTCCAGAGGTTTGTCTTCTAGATGATTGTAGACCCTGCCAAATTGACATTCGATGTTAGCCATCCCAGGCTCCTCGCAGGGTCAGCTGGTGACAGATCAATGTCTATTGCCCTAATTTCCAGGTGTGCCACCAAGGCAGAGTCCAGTTCTTAGGGTCTGCCTTTGAACCCTGGCCGCCTATCAAGCTTGAGAAGGGTGTTACATTGGGGACCACGTAGCTTTCTTTCTTCCTTCCTCACTCATCTGCTCCAGAGCCTTTGTGCTCCAGAGTGAAGAGAATGAGCCTCTGTGAGCCCAGGTTGGCCTGTTTTGCCTGGTCTTCATTTCTAGAAGGATTTTTCATTTGCAAACTTAGTTATCTGTCTTTGTCCTTCTTTAAGCTTGATGTTGCTGTACGAAAACCAGGAAGTAGAATGTTCTGAGGGGATGCTAAGTCAGCTTGAATTTGTGGAAACAGGTCATGGACCGAAGGGAAGGGGGCACCATTAAGGAGAAGTGGGGACGGAACGGGTGTCCAGGAGGTGTCTGGGGAAGTCGCTTTCTACTGTGGGGGGCAGGGAGATCTTAGATGCTCTGACTGGGAAATGAGCCGGGAAAAGACCCTTGCGTAGCTTTCCTTCAGAGGCCTCCACTACCTACTGTTCCTCGAGTCCTGAAGAGCCACCTGAGGAAGAAGGACTTGTGGCTCCCTGAGATTACCCTGGAAAGGCTGGAGGCTGGTGTACCTGCAGGAAGAAAACATCCCAAGCTCTTACCTTGCCTTCAGAATTATGTGGGTGCATCCCAGTGAAGCCCCATCCCCTGATACAGCAACAGACACTGTGTTCAGCCCAGAGAGATCACTGTTTATTACCAGTATGTCTCTGAAATGAGATCTGGATGTTTGTCTGGTGCTATCTCCTCTGCCCAGGTATTCCAGTGCTGGTGACCAAGAAGAGGGTCCGTCTTAACATGACAATGACTGCAGGGGCATGTGCTAATGCTCCCTGTAGGCATTTTCTCAGACTAAAGGGTTCCCTCTTATCCCATCCCCTGTGACTAATCTTATCTGTCTAGGAAGAGATCCTCCTGCCTCAGCCTTCTGAGCATGGACATTACAGGATGTATTACCATATGTGGCAGAACCAGGTCTCAAAGCAGCTTTAGACATTCATGCTATAGGTTGCCACTCCCAAGAGAACCCTTGAAGAGCTTACAGTGACCTCCTTGCAATTCTGGTCCTCATAAGCTAGGCAGATTTCAAGGTTCCTGGAAGGCATCTTCCCCTCATGCCAGTCCAGCCTCTGACCTGCTTTCTTAGGATGTGACTGGCTGTTGGGGAACCTCTTCTGCTAGCTGACGTGTTTGAAGTTGTAGAAAAGTAGACCAGCCTGGCCTTCATTTCTAGGGTAGAGAGTGGCTTGGGGCTCTCTGATTCAAATCTCTAGGTCTTCCAGGTTTCTATTCTGCTGTCTGCCAGATCCAAGGTAGCTCTTGTCTGGCCCTGACTTGTTCCAAGTCCTTCTTAGATGAGGTCTTGGAGTCCCCCTATGCTGCCCAAGCTGGTCTCAATTGCATGGGCTAAAGTAATCCCTCTGCTTCATCCTCTTGAGTAGCAGGAACTACAGGCTACTTGAGTTTTGGATAATTGTATTTATAATCCCACAAGAGTTTGATGGTGTCTCCAACCTGAAATTTATATAGTATGGCTGTCCCTTGGTGTCTGAAGGGAATTGTTTCTTGGATGCCCCATGGGTGCTGAAACTGAAGGTCATCCACGTCCCTATATGAAATGGCAGAGTTTTCACAGAGCCCACACACAGCCCCTTCCTTTGAGACCTGCAGCAGTGCTAACCCTTTGCTCTTCTGTCTTCAGTGAACTGAAGAAGAGGTACGACGTCACAGCCATCCCCAAGCTCGTGGTTATCAAGCAGAATGGAGCCGTCATCACCAACAAAGGGCGGAAGCAGATTCGGGAGCGTGGGCTGGCTTGCTTTCAGAACTGGGTGGAAGCAGCTGATGTTTTCCAGAACTTCTTGGGGTGAATCTGGAGGGGCCAGGGCAGGTGATTGCAGCAAGTGCAGGGCAGACATCTTCAAAGAGGGGGTTACTGTTGTCTTCTCTGTTGGGGCATTTCACAGTAGAGGCAGCACAGTAGGGCAGAGGGCAGAAACTGCCCAGGAAAGAACTACACCTTCCCAGAGTTCCTTTGGAATGAACTTATGTTTTCTTATAGTTTTGTCCACCTGTGCCCAGGCTCCAGGACACATCAAAAGGGTGCTATCAGAAATCTATGCAAGACGATCATTCCTACAGGCTTTTTTTTTTTTTTTTTTTTTTTTTGGTAAATTGATCAATGAGGTGATGTGTTTCCTGATGACCTATCACATTTTAATGATGCTTTGGTAAACGTATTTATTAATCAAGTTTTCAGAATGTGTAGTTTCCAAACCAAACACCTACAGAGAGACGTGTCAGTAAACGTCATGCTTAAGCTGTTATTCATCTGAGGGGGTGTTGCTAACTGTGCACCTTGTCTTGGAAGATTTCTCTAAGATTTGTCCTCTGTCCTTCCTTTTTAACTTCCTTCCTTCCTTCTTTTCTCTTTCTCTCTTTTTCCTTCTCTTCCTTCTTCTTTTCTTTTTTCCTTAATTTTGGAATGCTAATTGTTTGCTTTTCTTCCCACTACCCCCTCCCTCTTTTAGCTCAAAGCCTTGCCCCCACTGTGCATGTGTGCATTTTATATATGTACATGCTTGTGTGAGGGGGTATGCATGTACATGTGTGCACATGTGTGCAGAGGCCAGAGGCTGATACCCAGTGACTTCCTCACCTTTTTACACTTTTATGGTTCTTTTTAATTATGTGTCCGTGTGTGTGCGCGAGCCTATGGAGGCCAAAAGAGGGCAGCATATCCCCTGGGGTTGGAGTTAGAGGCAATTGTGAGCTGCCAGATGTATGTTAGGAACTGAACTCTTGTCTTCTGGAAGAGCAACAAGCACTCTTAACCACTGAGCCATTTCTTCGGCTCCTCAGCTTTTTCTTTTTATATAGTGTAGAGGGATCCAGGGCCTTGTGTATGTCAGGCAAGCACACTATTACTGAGTTATACCCCAAATCTTCTCTCTTCCCTCTCCTCTCTCTCCCCAGTCCCCCTCTGCCCCTCTTCTCCTCTCCTCTCTCTCCCCTTCGCTCTGAGAGCCCCCTCATTTGGAGTTCACTGAATAAGCTCCAGCTATCCACCTGTTTGTACTCCCCAGTGCTGGACTTGCAGAGGACACCATCACATCTGGCCTTACATGGTCCTGGATATCCACTCAAGTCCTCAAACGTATGCGCGTGGCATGTTACTGACTGAGCCATCACCCCGGCCCTTTACCAATCAGCCCCTTTCATTTCCAATAGTATTGCAATGACATAAAAAGAAGTTAATTCACATTTCGAAGCTATAAGGGAAGTCATGCTCTGACAGTCCATATTTACAACAATGGCCCAATAAGATTATAATGGATACTAAAATTTCATTATATTGTGGAACTCTTATTATCTGTTAAATCCGTGATGTTTATATTATTCTAAAAGTGCATAATACTTTCCAATGTATGTCTGTGGTGGTTAATACTGGCAGCTGGACAGGATCTAGAATCACTCAAAAGACAAATGTCTAGATGTGTCTGCGAGGGAGTTTCTAGGCTGGGTTAATTGTGGTGTAAAATCTCACCCTGAATTTGGGTGTCACTGTTCCATGGGATGGGATCTGTCTTAGTCACCATTTTATTGCTGTGAAGAGACACCATGACCAAGGCAACTCTTATGAAAAAAAGCATTTAATTGGAGGGTCACTTACAGTTTCAGAGGTTTAGTCCATTGTTATCATGGTTGGAAGCATGCCAGCATGAGGGCAGGTGCTGGAGCAGTAGCTGAGAGCTACTTCCTGATCCATAGGCAGCGAGAAACTCTGGTTTAGGCATCGGCTATTAAACCCTTAGTGCCATCCCCAGTGACACACTCTTAATCCTTTCAAATAGTGCCATTCTCTGGTGACTCTGCATTCAAATATATGAGCCTATGTGGGATGTGTTTGACAGTTTTATGTCAACTTGGCATAAGCTAAAGTCATTGAGAGGAGGGAACTTCAATTAAGAAAATACCACCGTAAGATCTGGCTGTAGGCAAGGCTGTAGGGCATTTTCTTAATTGGTGGGGGAGGGCCCAGCCCATTGTGGGGGGGGGGGGAAGAGGGAGACGGAGAAAGCAGGAAAGAGAGAGGGAAAGAGAGCATAAGTGGGCAGGCGTCTTTCTTTTAAAGGGGTCCTTTGTACCTGTGTGTGAGCTATCAGTCACGGAACCCTGGGCTGACCAGGGTACTGCCTGAGTGCATTCTACCAGATGACGGGGGCAGGCCAGCGTAATGCCTGAATCCTTACATAAGCAGCACGCCACCATGGCCTCTGCATCAGCTCCTGCCCCCAGGCTTCTGCCCTGTTTCAGTTCCTGTTCTGGCTTCCTTCATTGGTGGACTACAATGTGAGAATATAAGCCAAATAAAACCTTTCCTCCCCAACTCACTTTTTGGCCATGGTGTTTCATCACAGCAATAGTAACCCAAACTAAGAGGGGACATTCTTATTAAAAGCCACAGGATCTCAGACTGAATAAAATGAGAAGATGAGGACTGTGGAGTCACTTCAGTGGGTAAAGAGTTCCCTGTACAAGTGTAAGGACCTGAGTTCACATCCCTAGGATTCACGTAAAGCTAGGCGTGGTGAGCATCTTTAATCCCTGTGATCCTGTAGTGAGGTGCATGGTAGAGATAGCGGAATTCCCAGAAGCTTTCGGGTCAATTGATCTTGGGTATGTAGCAACCAAACAAGCCCTTTGCCCATCCAGGTGGAAGGTGACTGTAGAAGCACTGTGGTCAACTGTCTCAAACTCCTACCAATGAGAGTGTCCCCCAAGGGCATATTTGCCTAAACACTTGGTCCCCAGTTGGTGGCGCTGTTTGGGAATGTTTAGGGGGTGTGACCTTGTTGAAGGAAGTTATGTCTCTGGAGGTGGGCTTTGAGATTTAAAGGATTTATGCCATTCTACTTTGTTCTCTCTGTTTCATGCTCCTGGTTTAAGATGTGAGCTCTTGGATTCCTGTTTCTGCTGCCATGCCTATGGCGTCCTTGCCATGGTGTCCCTGCCATTATGGACACTAATGTTCAGAAATCTTAAGCCAAAATGAAGTGTCTTGTATGAGTTATCCCTGTCACAATGGTTTATCAGAAGACTATGTCTGTGAACGACAGTAAATCCTTTAAGTTGCTTCTTGTCAGACGTTTGATTACGGCAACAAGGAAAGCAGCTAATACAGCTTCCCCACCATTAATCAAGGCAGGACTTCAAAAGATCAAATCTCCGCATTCTCTAAAAGACCATTCTCCCTCCAGGTGAGAGGAAAGCCCCACATGGTCTTTGCCAACAGCAAAGAGGGGCTATCTACAGTTCAAGCAATCAGCCTCCTGCCAAGGACACTTAACTGGCTGGTCTCAAGGACAGTCATTCTCATGCATCACTGATGTTGCTTGATTTGATACAATTGTGGAAACATCCATGACCCATCATAAACCTGGCTTCCATTTTTGGATCCTGTCAGTTTGCTGTGCCCTTCATCTGGGAATTTGTAGCAAGGCTGTCCATAAAGCTCCAGGAGTCCCAATGTCTCGAGACAAGGCCGGGAAGTAAGGGGAAGTAAGAGAGGAGATGGGCCGGGCCCAGTAGCCAGTGCTGAGTTGTGCCCAGTAGCTGGCATGCATGCCTTGAGAGAGATGGTAAATAAATGTTCCCTTTCATCTCCCTCCCCACTCTTCATTGGAAACCACAGACTTCACTGGAATCCTGTGGCTCAACTAACGACTGTGTTAGGTGGAGCCAGCCTGATCACTGTATTTGCCTCAAAATACATCACACTGGAAAATAATTTTCCAGGGTAGAGCAGGTGAGCTAGCCTTCTACAGAGACGGTTTGGGCTGGGAGAAAGATGGAGCATTTACAACAATGCTGGGCTGTGGGTAGCTTTTAGTGTAGAGCCCCAGCCTAGCATGTCTGGGTTCCATTTCCAGCATTGCCAAGAAGCAAAATACTGGCACCCTGAGACACATTCTTTAATATATAATGTCTCTAATAACTAGTGTTCTGGACGTCATCCTACTTGAAGAGAATACCGCACCTGCACCACAACTTCTATTACAAAACAATAGGCACCACCTGTGAAAACAGGGGAATGTTCTAGAACAAGTCTGTCTCCTGACAGCCATGCACCTCTCTTCTCTATTACTCCCGTCAGTGTGCCCCAGACCAGCAACATGATGTGAGCATGTGCAGCAGGGGTCAGAGGTGAGAGAAACAGACCCTCATATAGGCAGGGCTCCTGGAGAGTGGGTCACCCTCACATCTGAGCACTATGGGTCACATTTAATCACAAGCCAGGATGCTCTATTCACTGCAGTCCTGGGACAGGACTCCCCTGGCTTCCCCACCCTATTTCACCAGGGATTTCTTCCTGAAGATCACTGCAACTCATATAAACAAGGCCTGTGTCAGTAGGTCTGATGCCTGCCTTTATTGGTACAGTCAAAGTGTATATATGCTATCCAGGAATTGTTGGAATACAATTAATTTGGTACAAGCATGACCGCAGGGCCTGGGGTGTCAGCTCAATCTGTAAAGAGTGCTGTATAAACATTAGGACCTAAGATGGTCAGCCAACTTAGTTTAAATGTGAAACCTGGTCTCAAAATGGCAAGGTGGATGGCACTTGAAAAATAACAGCCGGACTTGTCCTCTAGTTTCTAAATCATAATCCATGCACATGTGCTTCAGTATACATATGAATACACATATGTACACCAGAGTACAAATAGGGAGCTGTGTTTGTCTTTCTGGGTGGGGGTTCAGCGGTTTGCCTCCATACTACTTATAGAGTAATCTTTCTCCCGCTAATACTGTCTGATGCTAACACAGTGAGGCACTAATCTCCCACTAAAACAGTGAGGGTGCTGAGCTATGACTCATACACTGCAGTTTCCCTTAGCTTGTAGCCGTCCATAGACTTGATTGGATTCATTCTCATGGTGGCTTCAGAATCCCAAGCAGATGGTGCCCTGTTCCAGTC